AACATACATTTCCGTCGGCCAACGCCGAGATTACATTTCCTAAGGCCGAGAGTGACTTATTTATATTCTTCGCTTCGTCTAAAACCATTCCTTCGGCACCAGTTTTGCTCACCTTTTATACAATATTATATTTAATTCGTAATTATAAGCAAAGGGATGGTTTGCTTGAGTACTACCTTTTCAGAACCCGCGAGATCTACTAAATACAACTTTCCGGTCAATTTCTTTTGGTTTTCTTGATTCTCTTGCTTTACATTTATTAAAAAGACTGAATGACTTCGAGACGAGTGTTCGTTCATATCTGAGTTGTGTTCACACAAAAATTAAACAATTAATTAATTTGTTAATTGTAAAAATGGTGGATTCATTTACTGGTGACAGCGATGTGACGGTTAGCCTTTCCTTCATCTATCACTTCCATCACCTCTTCAGGACAGGTGACAAACCGTTCAGTCGCTCCCTTCACAAAAGTGCATCGATTCTTGTCCTCGTGTACCGAAAGATTAACTTTCGATACTAAATAATAAAATAAAATATTAATTTAAATCATTCAATGACTGCCTGACAGTGCATACCATCGAGAAGATCACGAATTTTATCCATATATATCTCAAAATAGGAAACCTTTAAATTGTAAAAATTTTAATAATCGTTAACATAATTGCAATGAAATAATTGACTGACTTTGATATGAAACTCAATCGCTTCATCCATAGAGTAAATATAATTGAATATATCGTTAACAATGCGGGGAATGATTCCCTGTAACATAGTATCGCCCAAAACGCCTTCCATGGTATGTGTTTTGCCGGACGAAGTCTGTCCGTAAGCAAAGATGGTTCCGTTATAACCGCCCAAAACATCCTTCACAATAGCTTTGGCCGCTTCGCTGTACACCTTCTCTTGAGAGGCATTCGGTTTGAAAACTTTGTCGAAAACATAAACTTTGCCCTAAAGTGTCCAATAAAAGCATACATTAATGGCTTTTCAATTATAAATTACTGTATATCCGAAAAATAGCGCAATTTATAAGTTATTGACCCGATTTGACACTTATTATTAAAACGAGAGCTGAGGCGTGAATCGGCTTATCTATACTAGAGAACCATCAGAGCGTTCAGACAATCGGTATATCAACTAACGATTCACACCAACATTACTCTCACAACAGTACTGCACAACACATCCAATTGTCAAAGGTTTGTCTTTTTATGGTAAATGTAATGTACAACTGGTATTACCTCATGTCCTATCACTCAATAAAGCACTTTATATACCATTTCATGAATATTCTCAATATTTTTCAAGTTTTATTTTTTCATCATAAAAAACGCTTTAATTAAGCGCTTAAATACTCAGTATTTGATTAAATTAATAATTAATTACTTAAAACAATGAATGAATGACTGAATGAATAAACTATTTCTAAAAAATTAATTAAATCTTAAAAAGAGCTGACTTTTAGTCACGAATTATAATCTCTTTTAATAAATGAAAAATTGTTTGAATTATGTGTAAAATTAAAATATAATTTATAACTGGAAAAAAGGTTCAAATATTTGACCACAAAAATGAAACAAACTTTTTAAAGAGTATACAAGTGTGTTGTCAGATACCTATCATATGAAACACAACTGTTATAATGTATGCAAAATGAATACATTATAATATTCACTGTAAAAATATCTCCGGCTAAATATGGTAAAAATTGGAGTTTTGGGAGTTTTAAAGCAAATAATGATTTGCTTGGCTTAATATTTACAAAGCAGATAGGTTGTTTTGGGTTTCCTTTAGGTAAAACAAAAACTAGACATACAGGACACGTTGTATGTGAAGAGGAACTGCAATATCTCGTGTTGCAGAGCCATCTAGTGCGAGTTGTCATATTTTTGGCGTATCTAAGCCAAGGGAATTAGCTTTTCTTAAAATAACACATGTTGTCTATATATAGTCTATGTTTGGAGTCATATGTAAGACATATAGTAATTTGAATAGATTTTATGTGAATCGGGATCGGAGTTAAAGCGCTTTAACTCCGATCCCGATATTAACCAACTATTAATACATTCAAAACATGTTATGTTAAACTGATATGCAGTTAGTAATACTCATTACTATTGGTTGAATGAGTTGACAATTAAGTTAATTGTATTTAGTGTTTGTTATGGACTCTAACGAGTAAAGTGCTTTACTCGGTAAAGTCAG